CAGCATTCAGAGCTCAATCATTGAAATTTGTCTGGCAAGTCAAACAATATATAAGATTTAAAAATTCTTTATACCGTACAGAAAGTACTACCTCTAGTACTTGCCTGGTTTTAGTTGTTACACTTAAATTAAATACAGCTGGAATTTATTTGGATGGAAGGAGTGAGGCAGGGCTCCAACTTCTCTTTTTCTCCCAAATTGCAAGCCAGTTTTCTCAAAATGATTTAATGAAGAATGTAATTTAAAAACTTGCATGTGCCCAAAATGCTATTTAAATTGAATGCTAATGAAATCTTGGAAAGAAATTGTGGCGTGATTTTCTGTTTTCAGATGGTTTTATTCCAATTAAGATGAACTCAGGGCTTAATGAGGACTTGTAAAGAAACAGATTCAGGAACTAGTACTCTTTTACCTACAAAAAATGTAAGAGGAGGAGGAGCTGAATGGAAGCCGCTAAGGAGAATAAGGTGCAGAAATAACAGAAATATTTTGAAGTATATATAGATAGAAGGGTATTTATTGCAGCACTGTCTATGACACTGCCTGGTTTCTTAAGCAGATAGCAAACCTCTAGAGTCCTTGTTCTGTGAGTCAAATCAATCATAGCCACATTTCTGTTACAGGCAGGCAAACAATCCTGACTGATACACTACGTTTATTTTTTTTCCTGTGTGCTTCTATATCTCTACTTTTACTTCATTGTTTCATTTAGCATGGGTTACTTTTTTTTAATTAAAAGTTTTTAAAAAAAATTTTAAAAAATAATTAATTTAATTTATTTATTTAGGGCTGTGTTGGGTCTTCGTTGCTGCGTGTGGGCTTTCTCTAGTTGCAGTGAGTGGGGGCTACTCTTCGTTGTGGTGTGCAGCCTTCTCACTGCAGTGGCTTCTCTTGTTGTGGAGCATGGGCTCTAGGCGTGCGGGCTTCAGTAGTTGTGGCACACGGGTTCAGTAGTTGTGGCTTGTGGGCTCTAGAGCGCAAGCTCAGTAGTTGTGGCGCATGGGCTTAGCTGCTCCACAGCATGTGGGATCTTCCCGGACCAGGGCTCGAACCCATGCCCACTGCGTTGGCAGGCGGATTCTTAACCACTGCGCCACCAGGGAAGCCCAGAACGTGTTACTTTTTAAAATCTAAAACTGTTGCTAAAAATAAAGAATATGTTGAATGTTGGACAGCTAAAGAAGAAATGAGAGTAATCAAGACAGTGAAGAGTTTATTGGAGGGTGCAAAATAATTTGAGCAATATAATTTAATCTGCAGAGTGATAGCCATTTTTATGATCAGGATGTTAAGCACTTGAACAACCTACACTTCATTTTCATAACAAAGACACAACTAGGAAAAGAGTTAATTTTAAGAATTTATTATTTTTTTTAAAAAAAGCAACTTCCAGGGTTTGTCATTGTACACATTTAGCCCAGTCTCCTATAGCAGGTACAGCGATAACTGATTTTTATAACATTGACTCAGAGGCACTGAAGATCCATACTGTCTTAGGAATTATCACAGATAGAAGAAAGAATTAGGAGAGTTTAATGTTAAGTGTATTTAAAAAATCATATTCTAATTCTTTTAAATTGCTTATCCAAGTATGATAATATAGTAGAGTTCAGATAACTAGAAAACACAGTTGACTAGAACATCCCATTCCCATCTGGTGCGCATTAATAGGCTTTTTATGGCATATATCTTTATATAGTTTGCAAGCTAATTCAACCCACTTTTACACAGCATTAATTGTTTTTTATTGAGTTGGCACTGGGCTGAAATTGTTGCTCATTATCTCATCATTACTTTTTTCTAGTTCTTGGATGGATTTCCCTCATCTGACACAGTGTTTGGACTTTAGTATATATGAGACTTCCAGATTATCTCTGCCCATTCTAGTGATGTTTACAATGAGGTTATCCATGGCCAGATATCCAAGACTACTAATTAATATGTCCACGAGCTCTGTTCTTGACTTTGGTAAAAGAGAGACCTTGTGTCTTACTGGAGTATGGGCCAAGCTCCAGGACAGAAGCTGTTTGTGAACTGGTCGTCAACAGAGGTAACCGCTCAAGGTTCTTATTAATGCTGTGCAAACAAGGATCTCGTCATTTCAGTAACTATTTGTACATTTATAAAAGCAATACAGTCATGGGAAAAACCAACAAGCACAGCTTGGTAGAATAACCTGCCATGAAATATCATTGGCCTTATAATAATTTACTACAACTGTTCCTTTTATTCACACTGGATAGGAAATGCTTCCATCTAACACATGGAATATGAATATATACAACAAAAAGTTGGCTTTTATTAAAAAAAAACTTCAGGAGGACAATAACATGAGGGTTGGAAAAATAATTTTGTGCCGTTTCCTAATCACAATCATATGTCTGCTACCTTTTACAGGGAATGGCACAAGTTTGGATAGATTTTATAAACCAGTTAAAGAATTTTCCTGCCTGTAATAGCCTACTATTAAAATATTACCTTGTTCATACAGTATAGAGGTTTCTCCTTCTCCACTGTAATTCTAAATGACTGGGATTGACATGAAGTGTCCCTTTTAAGGACAAACCCTGCTAATCCTCTTCAAAGTCATCATATATTCGCAGTTCCCTATTTCATCTAAAAGTTCACCAAAACAACATCTTGGAAACTGCACAGGGCTTCTGACTGATGTGCACTTGGGATCCTGAATGTTGCATATTCTCACCTGATGCCTGCCATCTTGATGCACAACGATGTCAACATCTTGGCTTGAACTTTCTCATGGCCGCAGTGAGCCATGCAGCAGTGGTGTGGGGTGGACTGTTTTGTACCGCCAGCAGTCAAAACAGTGGCCAGGGGCTCAACGCCTCTACACTGTGAGCCTGGGGAACCCATTCGCCTATGGAATGGTTCTCTGGAGTCCAGCAATGTCACTGCAGGTGGCCAAGACATTCTGACACCTGCTTCATGGAGGACTATACCCAAGAAGAAACCTAATGTTATAAAAATAGACAATATGGGCCAGGTTGGGGGGCAAGCGAGGGAGGTTGCTTTCATAAGCCCTGTAAAATATCTCTGATTTTAGCTCTATGAGGAAGCTGGGAGAGTCTCTGGCAGCGGCAGGCTGGGAGAAGGGCAGGTCTGAGGTGTGCTTGGGGAAGTGTCAATCTGGTGTTGGCAATGCAGATTTAGTGCCTGTGGACCCCGACTAGGGCACTCTGCCTAGATCTATTCTCCCCTGACTGTACCTTTTATGCCCAAGGGTTTCCCCATTCCCCCACACAATCCTTGTTTGCTTTTGCTTTCTAAAGTTGAGAGGGCAATTAGGAAGCATTTATGTCTCAATTTTGACTGATTAGTGGTGGCTCTTTGGAATTATGATTTGAGGATTGTGTAGAAATCACTGGGCTCCATGGAAGATGGTGCTGTGATTGATTAGCAATGTCTGCCATGGCTACAAGCATTGGTGTGTATGGAAGGTATGCTAGGTCCTATGTCTCTGTTCTAAGTAAGATGAAAGAATGAGGCTGGCTTGATGGGTTTTTGAAGGATCTTTGGAGACCACAGCCCAAAGTGCTAAGTTTGCATTTACTTTATATTCTGCTTCATTCCTGAAAAGATTTAAGGGTTTTGGGAGTGGAATTTTAAGACCTGTGGAAAGTTGGAGGGGGAGGTAATTTTGAACAGGCTGGTACAGGAGGCCCTAAATAGTGGCCTCTGTTTTCACCCTTGGGTGATGAAGCCTAATGTTTAGAAAGTGATTATAGAGCTTACTGGTGATAGCAGATTCAGAAAGACTTGAGGAGTGGAGTGGTTTCCAGGCATGGTGGGAATTTCAGGCAGCTGATAATATTTGTGAGTATGTTGAAAAGCCAAGGAGAAATATATTTGTATCCACAAACACATGTGTTTTTTTGGGATAAATTCCTTAGTATGTCCGGACTATTGTCTCTCAGCTCTACCTAGAAGTCTCTGGTGCACAACTTCACCGAGAAAGAAAGACAAAATCAGTGAAATTGTGTGGTAGGTGCTAGTGATGCCATTTTGGGAAGATCAGCTAATGTTCGTCTGTGGAAAATAGGATCAATCACTTGTTCGTATCTCAAGTGATTTAAATCGAAGCCAAATCTTGATTTTTTAACATGAGGCATTAACAAGTTGCTCTTTGACGATGCCGTTGCCTGTTGATTTAGGGGCCATGTTGGGCCAAAGCCAGCCACCTCCAGCTGCTGATGGCCTGTGGGTTTTAGAAACTGTCTGATGCTCCCATCAGTACTCGCCTGTCAGTGCACATACCTGATTTCACTTACACAGCAACATGGTAACATACCTTTTCCTTCAGTAAACAACCGCCCTCTTCCTCACTTGGAAACTGGGAGAATTTGGAAGGAAAATAAGGCATATCTTTTTACTCCTCTGCAAATCCCAGAACATGCTTTTGGATACCTGTATGATGTTGAGTTTCTTGCCACAATGGGGACCCCAGTCTTTCCCCAAAGATGTAGGCAAAGGGTCTTGACCTTCCTGGGTGGCACATAGAGGTGAGGATTCCTTGGTTCCTAGGCCAAGGGTCCAGGGTCAAGTGATGGAGGTGGAGTGAAAGAGGGAAGGCAGCATTTAGCAACCCAGCAATGTTATTTCTTATCTGACTCTGCATTTCACCCTCAGAGAAACGATTTTCTTATTGATCTCCATGAGACACAATCCCATTTAGAGCATCTCAGCAGTTTCAGTGTCTCTGGAACCTTCTAGAGGTGATGGCTGGCTGGCTATAATTGTGACTGTAGTTGCCTCATTGTTTGTTTTCAGGCAATTCAAAATTTTGATTTCTTTCCTCTGATCACAATTGTCGGTGTACTGGTGTTACAAACCAATTTGTAAAGTGTGTGAACGTCAGTGGGCTTTATCACCACTCATTTCCAAAGTGGAAGCCCCCTTTAACTGGAAAGACTTGTTCTAACACCACAGAGGAGCCTCCTCCCCAAAGTTTCTGAGAGAACCCAGAGCATGAACTGTGGGTTCTAGACAGAGGGCCTAGGAGGTGGTCGGGAGGGGGGTGGTGCCCTGTTGGGAGGGGGAGCCTGAGGGGGAGGAGGGAGGATGGAAGGTGGGGATGGAATTGGAGGGGTGGGGGCACTGTGGGGGGGGGGAGGGCAATGGGGAGCAGGGGGGGGCGGGGTGTAGATGGGGGCAGGAGGCGGTGAGGTGGTATGGTAGGCATTGTTGAGGGGGTACTTGGCAGGCGGATTGTTCTTGACTCTGGTGAAGTTGATACAGCGCCCCTGGAAGAGAATCAGAGAGAAGGAAACATGAGCTGATGCTTGCTGGGGCCTTACAGCAGGGCAGGTGGCAGTGTGCAGGAGGGGGGCAGCCTGAAAAATACGTGGAAAGCGGATGCCACGTTTACGTCCGTGTGCTCAGCAGAGCATTACACCAGAACTTGACAACAAATAAGCTCCTTGTTCCCTTCTTCTGGGCTTACTGTGTTGCAAACTTATTTGTTCAATTTCATTTTTCGCCGAGTCTCTCTCTCTCAAGGAGGCAAAAGAGAAGGGCACTGACCTTAACTGGATGCACAGGGTCAAGGTGAGGACAGAGGTCGTTGAATTTAATCTCCTCAACAGCCTTGCCAGGAAGGTATTATTATCAGTTGTTCCATTTCATAGATGAGGACACTGAGGCTCAGAAAGGTTAAATTACAACTAGGAAGAGGTGGGGTTGTTGTCACCAGTAGATACAGCCTCCCGCTCCAAGCCCCTGCCTTCCCCAGAGCTCTGACATGGACAGTTTATCCTGCTTTTGTTTTCCCTGGTCTTCCAGCTGCTGTTGCACCTGCCCAGGTGCCCTTAGGTTCTTAAGAAATACAACCCGGGGACCTTTTGTTGCAAAGCAGGCATCTACCCTGAGTCCAGCTTTTTCCTCACCCTTCCCAGGTACCTGACTAGATAATGCACAGTAGACACCTGGAACCCCTACAGAAGCCTCTTCAAAGTCCAGAATATGAAGCCCTATTGGACTTTGCTCCCCTGGGGCACCTCCTCTTTGCTCTCCAGAATCACAGGCCCGCCAGCCCTGCCCCCCAACAGATACCTCTAGTCTCAACAGGCACTTGGGAGCCTTTCACCCAACACTGGGCTCTGCAAGGGACAGGAGCACAGGGGCTCTCCCTGTCACGATATTCTCCTTCTGGTGTGTGGACCCCCCTCACCTTTCCCATTCGACCCTCCCCTTCTTGCCTGGGCAGGGTGCCGGCCAGCCTTGTGGGGTCCTGGCCTTTTTCTAAACTTCCCACGCCTATCGGGGCATCTTCTCTCTACTGTGTGTCCTGGATGCTGACAGAATCGGGGCCACCGGCTCTGAGGCTGCCCTGTCCCTTTCTCCTCTCCTGTTCATTTTAACCTGATTTTAACCGGATACAAGCATTATACTGGGGCCGAGGAGGGAGTACGGCATTTTTTCCTGGCTACATTCTTCAGGATGGATGCCCATCCTGTGGTGGCCAAACTGGATGGGATGTGTCCAGAGGGGCCACAGTTTCCCTTTCCAGGCCTATTGAGGAAGGGCCTGAGGGGGACGAAGAGAGTGAGGCTGTGGACTTTAAGGACCAGTTACCTGAAGGACAAGAGGGAAATACAAGTGTGTGATTTGAGACTTGGCTTGGGGGGTGTCACGGCAGGGGCGCGGCGAATGTTTGTGGGAGCTGGCGGGGCCCCAAGCAAAGCTTTCCTCACACGTGTACACCCCATCCATCCTTCCAGTTCCGAGTCAAGTCCCTTTTCCTCCACACGTCTTTCCCTGAAGGGTCCTGCTTCCACTCATCCCTTGCTTCCCTCCCTGAGTTTTCTAGCTACAGTCTACGCCACACACCGAAGCCTGCATACTATAATTGCTTTATTTGTAAATGCCTTGGCTCCCTGACTAGGTGAGAAACTTCTGGAAGGCAGTGGCCTTGTTTTGTGCTACACTGTTGGTTTAGGAATTACAATGCCGTATTTAGATGTCAGCACCCCATTTTCTCTGAGCTTGCATTTCATGAGATTAAACCATGACCTAACTTTTTCAGGTTTCGATTGGGGTCCACTAACTGCAGAAATCAGCTACCATCTTCTCATTGCATGGCCCAGAGCTCCCAGATCATGGTCAGACTTTCACGGGTTAAGTCAATTTTGTGACCCAGTCCTGTGAATTCCCGTTTGTCCAAGCAGCCCTCTTTTACAGCTTTATAAATCTAAGCCTCGGTTACACTTTATTTATGATCCTGGATAAAGCTCTTTCTTCCAAGATGTGAATGTCCTAACGATTACCATCTGTGATAAGTTCCTGTAACGGACAACTCAGAGTTGGGATTTACTGTCCTACATGTTCTGCCCTTCATTCCTAGATATGCCCAGTCAGACCAAGAGGCCCATTTCCTTTAAAGATGAAGGAAAATTCTGATCCTGGGGAAGGAGCTGCTGGTGCCTGGAGTCGAGTCCCCACGTGGCTTCAGATTTCCTTTAGGGCTGGTCATTCCACTGCTCTCTCCCTCCCTTTAGGGATCAGTGATGGTGAGCTGGGGCAAGAGAGCAGGTGAATTATCTCAGAGGCCTGTTTAATTATTTCACACAATTATAACTCTAGTGTTTTTTTTTTGTTTTTTTGTTTTTTTTTTTTGCGGTACGTGGGCCTCTCACCGTTGTGGCCTCTCCCGCCGCAGAGCACAGGCTCCGGACGCGCAGGCTCAGCAGCCATGGCTCATGGGCCCAGCCGCTCTGCGGCACGCAGGATCCTCCCGGACCGGGGCACGAACCCGTGCCCCCTGCATCGGCAGGCGGACTCCCAACCACTGCGCCACCAGGGAAGCCCAACTCTAGTGTTTTTACTGGAGACAAAATCAGGAGCTGCCAGGTTTCTTCTGTTCATAACCCAGATTAGGATTCCTAAATGTCTTCAGAAAGATTTGAAAGGATCCACGGAACAAAAGATGATCTCTCACATCTGTCAGCTAAAGATGGAGTAAAAGCAGGCAGGGGTC